AAGCATTTACTGTAATTAAAGTCCCAGATTCTAAGTGAGAGAACCTCAGTAAGACCCTGGGACTCTGGGTGGGCACAACCATGAGCAATGAGTGATACTGCCATAGCTCATAGTCTCAGAGCCGCAAAGGCAGTATGAGAAGTCTCTTGCCTGGAACAGGTGAGGGAAAAAACCCTTTCTTCCCAATCAGAGGCTCCTGGTCCCTACTTTAGCTTCCTCTATCTTCATTCCCCCTTTCTTTGGGCTATGCTCAGCCTGAAATATAACTACTGTATGAAGTCAAACTGAAAGACACTTGTATTGCAAACAAGTTCTTTCTTAAGGTGTTGTGAATGACCACTAAGTTTAATGATTGATATGAAAGATGGTAGAAATGTAATTGCTAACTGTAGAGGTAAAATCAAATTTATTTTTATGGAATAGATTTGAATAAATAGAAAAACTGCAATGTTCAATGAAAGAATTGTCTTAGTCATTTTGTAAATTTGCAAGGATTGATATGATTATAAAACCTTAACAAATTAGATCTGGAGTGGTCCTAAGTGAACTTCTTTAGAAAGCTGGTGGAGGAGCAGGGGCTGTTTTTTAGAAAGTACATACAGAAGAGTTCACAGCAATAGGAGAGCACTGGATGAATTTCCTCAAACAGAACACAACTGTGTCCTGACACTGCCATTAAGAAACAAAATAATGTGCAGAGCACCTTATCCCGGTGACTGATGCCTATAAGGAAAAATGAACGTGGATTTGTAAGAGCATAGATTAATTCTATCTGCATTTATATTTAATACAAATAGAATTATATGGAATGGACTCCTTTGTGCCTGGCATAGTTCATCCAATAATTTATTTCCTATTGTTGCTTACAGATTCAGTTCGTTTATTCTCACTGATGTTCAATATTCTATTATGTAAGTAAAAAGCCTTTACACATTCTACTTGATGTACATTTGGGTAGTTTTCTTTGCAACTATTTTGAATATATCAATAATTACATTAACTATGAACACTAAGTAAAAGATAGTATTTCATGTAAAAGATTGACATTCTCCCAGCAGATAGAAAGATATCTATTAAACAAACCCAACTATATACTGGTTCATAGGGATGCTGGTGTGGCTGTAGTAACACAAACAGCAGAATTATGACTCAAGGTATTCCTCCCACAGATACAAAGGAATGTTTCGTAATTATGAGAGAATATATATGTATTGCTTATCATTTGTGAGTTTGTGTGTGAATATATAAAACATTCTAAAGTTCTGAGTACCTAGTGATATATCTTCAAACTACATAAAGCCAAAATTAACAAAATTAAAAAAAAAATACACTAATAGACAATCATACTGGGGAACTTTAATATATTTCTCCTATCACGTGACAGAATCAGCATAAATGAATTCTAAGAACACATACAATGTGAACAATACTGCAAACCAACTGGATGTAACTGAGACAGGGAACCCGGGCTCCAGCCCCACTTCCCTTCCAGTCCCTTTCAGGTTTTCTCTCCTACTCACCCACACTGACACATATTTGCTGGAAAGCCTAAAATGAGTTCAAAAGATTGAAATAATTCAGAGCATTTTCTGTAAATACAATAAATTTAAGGTGAAAATTGGCTTCTATTACTGTTTGAATAGTTAATAAAAAGATAATTAGAAAAATCCTGAACAGCTTGGAAATTTAAGATTACATTTCTAAATAATTCAGTTAAGAAAATAAACCATTTTTGTCTGTGTTTCAGAAAGAGCTATAAATAAAATTAAAACTCACATATAGACTTTCATTCTCCGGAGGATGAAATGAGAAGACAGTATCAAAATCATTCTACCAGTCCCTGAAAAGGATTGAGAAAAAACCCAGAACACATCGACTTCTGCTAGATAGAAAAGGAATAAAGCGTTATGCTAAGTATTGTCACATCAAACACTTCTTTGCATAGAGTATTACTTCATTTAGATCATATGAACACTGTCTTGAAAATGTTACTATCCCTATCTTAGCAGAAAACTGAGGCCCACATAGTTAAAGTTTCCAATATCCTGCACAAGGGAATAGTACAATGAAGTTAGAACCATTCCCATCTACTGTTCATGCTCACAGAAACACAGCCTGCTAGAACCAGGAGGACTTGGAGTAGTTTATTCAATCTGCCATTTTACTACAAAGGTATCAAAAGCTCAGATGTGTCCAGAGATGAAATTTGTATAAGTTATTTTCACCCCCTAAAGCAGGCACACCAGTAAAGCTGTACCAAACAGCACATTGCAGAATGCTCTCAAACAAAATAAGATCCGAATACTATCTCAACTAAAATCACACTTCTTACAGTCTACTCTAGTGTTAAATGCTTTCCTTCAAATAAGACTTTTGGATATGCAATATACATGGAATAGCTTGGGTAGGACTGACATATTTTGGGAGGTGGGATGGGTGCTTAGGTCATTTTAAACTCGATCTTTCATTGAAAGAACTGGATGATATGCTTCAGTGGATTAAAGTTTTCAAAATCCCCATGCACTGGTGTGCAGATTTCAGAGGACGCAACTAAGAGCATAGTTTAGGACTGGACATTAACCATCCTTGGCTTTCTGCCACTTCAGACCACTCCCCTTCAGCTCCCACTAGAAAGTTTCTCAGCTGTTTGCCTAATACCACCACCCTACACCTTGGGTGAGAGGAGCAACAGTTTGATTCAAATACCATACTGAAATGAATCAAAGATAATTTAAAATTACAAGGTTAAAACAAGTTAGTTTAAAATTTTCTCCTTATTAAAGTTTTTCCTAAATGCACTAAGTTTACCAAGGCAAAAGTGACTAAATGCATAGGGAAGAAAGAGACAACTAACAGCCTCTTGTGTCACATGAACCCTTTTGTGGCAACACTTAGGAATGCTACTACGACTTGTGTAGAAACAGGTTCCTAACAGAAGTACAGAAGTTTAAGCAGACAACCAGGACTATATACTTTTGAGTGTCTTACAGACATACAGGGAAACAGGCTGAGTCTCCTTAAACCGTTGTTCTACAGCAAAGAAGCTGTCAAAGCCCATTTCAAGCAGCACTGAGCATCACTAGTGCAGGGACTGTGCACACAAAGCAGTCTACCTTTCTAATGCAGAACACAAGACTTACGCATCACTATGGTCTGCAGTGGGCTTCCCCTTTCTTTGGCACTCGTTTCTTTTACAAGTTGAAAGATACATTACTTCAGGTAGACAGCTTGTCTTTATTGTCTATGGGGGAATGGAAGGGAAAAGTTGATGGCAACCTGCTCCTGGGGAGTGGGTGGAGCAATGGCACCTGGAAGAGAGACTGAGCACTGGGCAGTACAACGTATTTGCTCAGCCTCCAGTCTAGGGAATGCAGCATTTCCAGCAACTGTGCTATGATGCTGTCATGCTGATGAATCCCCAAAGTATAGATGGTCAGAAACAGTCCAAACTGACTTGATCTGTGTGTGTGAATGACAGTCCAAAACCTGTACATAAAGAGGAGTAACTTCTGCTTCTGCTTGTTTCAAAAACGGTTCTGTGTGCAATACAGATGACTAAATCAGATATCCTACCATTGTTTTTCTTTCTTTTTTTTCTTTTGGTGGCACTGGGCTTTAAACTCAGTGCTTCAAGCATGCTAGGCAAACACTAACCCTTTTTGCTTTAGTTTATTTTTCAGGTAGTGTCTCACACTCATGGCCAGAATTAGACCACAGTCTTCCTACCTCTGCTTCCTGAATAGCTGGGACCATAGGCATGTGCCACCATACCCAACTTGGTTTTTGAGATAGGGTATTGTTAACTTTTTTGTCCAGGCTGGCCTTAAATCAAGATCCTCTTATCTCTACTTCCTGAGTAGCTGGAATTACAGACATGAGCCAACAGGTCCAACCCAACACCCTACCATTATTTAAATGAGTCAATAATATAAACTGAGAAATCTGAAAGAATACACCAGCAGCAAACAAGTAATCACCTCATATCCATGCACTGTCAAATGTATTAAGAATCTTATTCTAACTTAAATTCTCACCAAGTGCAATTTTTTTGACATGGACATCATGTGAACAAATACTGCTAAACACTTCAAAAACATTCTTGTGTCCTGGGGTGATCACGACCCCACCCTCATCTGCCCAGCATCCTCCTGGCAATGCACACCATAGGCATAATGTGGCCTGCATAAATGGTCCACAGCATTACGTTTTCCATGTCACAACAGCCCTGCTATAGAACACCCTCAAAAACTTACACCTCAGATTCTCCACACTCAAGGTAGTTGGTTAGCTGGCCAGAACCTACATGCGCCACAGGGAAGGGGCAGAGATTAAGACACTGTCACTGGTGCCACCCATTAGCTTTGAACAACCCAGAATCTACTGGCAGTGTTTACCCACAGTGCTGTTTGGGCCACATCTTGGCCCAAAGTTCACTCTAAGTTCACTTCTGGGCTAGCTACTTCCTCAAGCAGGATCCCCCAGCTGTACCCCACCATTTTGTTGTTCTGCACAGAATTAATACTCAAAGACACTTTCAATTAAATAAAGTGGTGGAGTAATTTATTTTACACTGCATTTGCTGTTACGTCTGATGACTTTAACCCCATCTAACCTGTAATCAAAGAGGCCCAAATAATATGGCAGCCAGTCTTACCCTCAGCATGTCCCAAAATCCTTGTCACAGGTAGCTCGCAATTTCTGAGAAGTGAGCAGCACTTTGTTACCACTCAAGAGATTTAAGTCACCTTTTCCATCACAATCTTTTCCTTCTCAGGCATTCATGAAAATTTATTTTGTGATAAAATAGAGATGAAAAGCCCTGTTTCACAGCTGAGTGTGATAAGGCCAGAATGTGCTTTTGTAAGGCCTTGAAGCAGATAGCATCCCATACTCTCCTCTCATGAAATAATGCAATAACGCATGAACAGTAGTAACTACTGTGGTCAATCAATTAGATCCTGTTAAGAACAGCAAGTGTCTTAATAGCTCTAGCTCCTTACCAGCATGCAAATAAGCGAGGTCCGGGTTCTCGATGTCAGGATGTTGCTCTTTCAGGTGGTTTCGGAATTCTACAGGGACATTCGTCCCATAGTCACATTTGGGGCAGTTGTACATCTTGACTCCTTCATGTTTCCCAGTATGCAAAATGTGTTTGCGGATATTTTCAGCACAGTTTGACCTACCAAGAAAGCAAACTGAATTAAGGTCAAAGGAACAACGTTATACCACAAACACCGACACCAGCTAACCCTAACACAGGCTTTTCTACAAGCCAGGTAGTACTCAAATCGCTGTACTCACATAAATAACTACTATACATCATCAATCCGCAGAGGTTGGGAGTTTTATAAACCCAGTACTGATTTCTACATTGGGCTTTTTACTTAGCAACTCAGTTCCATGTAGAACCAGAAGAACAAAATTCCAGGCTTTGTTATTTTAATATCAAATTATCCTGGTGCCACTTGAGGGCAGTGAAGTTGTTTGCTTATCCAAGAAACACGCCTAGCACCACAGAGGAGTGGTAGGAAAGGCAAGCGAGGTCAATAGAGCATTTACCAAACAAATACCTTGGCTTTTCATGTTCTGCCAAGCAAGCTGGATCCATACTAGGTTCTAAGACAGTCTGAAATGCAGCTGGAAGAAGGGCAATTTGCCCTTCCCCACTCTTGGGCAATGTGTTGGTGCCAGTGAGTTCCCTGTGATGATGCAGGCTTCTAGAGGGCAGAATGGAAAATATCAAGGAGATTCCCCATATTGCATGACTACTAGTCACTGAAAACATGACTGGGCTCCTTTCCTTTCCTTCTTTCTTTCTTCCTACAGAGACAGAAATGCAAGGCCTAAAATATTCAGAAGCTGGGTCTGGGGTGCTACCCCCTGAGGCTAGCTTCACATCTGAGGCTACAAGCTGCCATCTTGTGAGTATCCAACTGTTGCCCTGTCTTTGACATTTTTATAAAATAAATGGGCCCTACACAACTTCAAGCAGTTGGTGAGGGGTTATACAGAGAGGACCAGAAAAATCAGGCTGGTCTCAGACTTCCTATAGACCAAAATAAAACGTCAGAAGAAAGTGAGAGTAACATGTTTATCAACATGTCCTGAAAGTACTGCCAAAGAAGAAATTTTGCAAGACATTCTGTGAGGCTAGGAAATGCTAGTCAGTGAGCGCATCTCACACTGCACCTCAAAATGCAAAAGGCTCTAGGAAGTAGTTTGCTGTACTGATTCTAACAGCAATCACTTTGTGCCTAATATCCAATTAAACATCATGTCCATTTTTCAGAGGATATGCCCTGGGAAAAACTAGTCAAGAAAGCGAAAATGGGGGCAGGGTGTGGTGGTCCACACCTGTAATCTCAGCTACTCAGAACACAGAAGTAGGAGGATCATGGTTTGAGGGAGCCTGGGGAAAGTTAATGGGAAATGCTAGCTGAAAACTTAAAAGCAAATGAATGTGGTCAAACTGGTAGAGCACTTTCCTAGCAAGCACAAAGCCTGAGTTCAAAATCAAGTACTGCAAAAGAAGAAGGTAAAAGGTTAAAGGCAAAAATGATTATAACCAACAGTTTTATCTGAGCTCTGATACCATTCACATGTAAAGGCAGCAAACAATGTTAGAAATTCAGACTCTGTAAGTCTGTATCTATTCACGCACAACAAGAAGGGTGTGGAGAGTGAATGAAAACAGCCACAGAAATAGTATTCCATGCAGGGGGGGAGGGCAGGAGTGACCTTTCCTACTGACAGGACAAAGCTAAAATGCAAATACTTTCCTCTTGAATGAGTGCCCTGGATCATGGGAACAGCCCTGTCCTGGATGCAAGATACTCTTTCAGGAGAGCTTCTGTCATCTGCCTCCCATGTTTAGGCACATCTGTCATCAAATGTACGTGTAATCTAAGCACAGGTGGAATGACTGATGTGGACACACAAAAAAAAGGAAATGTCTCTATGCCTACAAAAAAAAAAGACTAGAGAGAAAGACAACAAAATGTTAATGCAGCCATACTTTAATGCCTGCTTCTCTTTATTTTCTAAATATGCTTCAATAATTCACTTAATAAATAAACTTTAAAAAATTAAAATAACACCATTGTTGGGAAAAAAAAAAAAAAGAACTGGACTAGCAGAGGTTTTCCCATCTATTTTCAGCTGGCTCCAGGCAAGGGTTCTGTCAAGCTGGATGTTAAATTTCTCTTAGAACTTAGACTAAATGTATATAAGACAGCTGATATATAATACACAGCTTCCTTCGTTCATCATTACCACCGATTAGCAAATCTGCTTTGTAGATAAATCCCTTACAGTTAATTAACAATCAATGGAAGAAGAAAAGTACCAATGTACGCCATACACTGACACCTGTGAAGGCAGCACATGAGCCTCTGGGGTAACGACTGGTAAAGTATTTATCATGGTTTCAATAAGAAGTCTCTCCCACAGGCTCATGTGCTGAATACTTGGTTCCCACATGGTGATGCTATTTTGCGAGGTTCACAAACTTTAGGAGGTAGGGGTCTAGCAGAATGATGTAGGTTACTAGGGCTGGTCTTGGAGGCTAGGGGTTGCTCTGCTACACACCTCCCCGCCCCCACCGCCCACCAGGAGCTGGGTAGTCTCCTCTGACATGCACTTCCACTGCTATGATGGTCTCCCTCAGTTTACCTCAACTGAAGCCCAAAGCAATGACTACAGCCAACCTTGGACACAAACCTCTGAAACCATAAGCCAAAATAAAATCTTTCCTCCTTTTAAATTGTTTCCTTCAGGTGTTTGTCACAGTGACAAAAAAACTGACTAATACACAGTAATTTTATGGAGAAGCAAGTAAACATCACAACAATAAACAAAAAGTTCTACAGCAAGTAAGTGGTTAAGGGCAAATCTGAATCTAGGTTTTTATTTTGAAAGGCAGTGCTTTTTCATGTTACACCACAGCCGTCTTCTTTACAGTGTTTACATATCAAAGATTCTACACGTTCTATGAAGAGAGTAGACTGAAGAAACTCTTGGATGTATGGTTATCCTTGAAATAACAGCTCTGGATCATGCTGATAGAAGTACAGGAAATCACCTGAAGACAGATAACACGAATGTCCACTTTTGTGATATTAAAAAGGAAGAGTACCATTTTAAAAAATTTTGTAAGTAGCTGGGTGAACTGTTCCAAAGTACTTCTTTAATTGTGAAGATCTAGTGATGCCCCCGAAATCCACCATTATTTACTGACCCTGGGAGTGAAAACATAAAGACACTGCTGTAATTAACAAGGACTGTTTAATCAGGACTATGGATTCTTTGACGCTACTAATGTTATTCATCAAAGACAGTCACTCATCAAGTGAAAAACTAAACAGACTAAATATATTTCAATACACTATACACATTCGAATGGGGATTAATATAAGTAATGCATCAGTGAAGGAAGCACAACAAGACTCTGCAAACAGAATATTTTGTTTTCAAGAAGGGGTGTCTTAGACAAAAATGAGCCAGTTCCTCTTAGTATCTAAGGAAACAGCAGGTGGAATCTGAACATCGGGAGTCCATTATTGAAATAAGTCTTGTAGTGGGGGCAGAGAAGAGCAGAGAGGATTTGAAAAGGCAAGAAGCTACTTTTCGTTTCAAACATAAAATGAAGTGATTAGGAACGTGAGATTGTTGAAAGGTATTCAGGACCATTCCATTCACATATACTTCTACACAAACAGATAAGCACATATATTTATAAATGATATATTGACTGCTTATAAGTTTTATTGTATAATACACATATATTTATATGTTAAAATATATACACATAAAAACATAAAAAATGATGCTTTCAGGGGAAAAAGAAGTGACTGCTAATGGGAATGGGATTTATTTTTAGGATAATAATTTAAAACTGCTTATTGTCATGTAGCTGAGTGAATATACCAAAAGCCACTAATGCTGCAATTTCAGTGGGTCAACTGAAAGACATGCATTGTCTCTTGATTTAGAAAACAGAATTCATGTGCCTGTCACCTTTCTTCCTGTTATTGGGACCTGGAAGGCCACACGCTCAGGGGGCAAAGGTTGCAGTATGGGGAAGAGGCTCCCAATGCCTCTACATAATGAGTAATAAATCTGTGCTGAGTTATATCACACAGTTCAGTTTTGCCTGAGGTGCAGCTAGAGCTAATTATCAGAGAACATACTCCCAACCTTCCACAGACAAGGCTACATGGAGCCCCACCACCATGGACACACACCCATGCACGTGCAGGTACCCTTTGATTTTTCCTCTGCCAAACTCAGAGAAGCAGGAACTTCAGGGGACTGAAAAGAAATCCTGTGTTCTGGACTAGCACTACTACTTCTGGCCTGGCAATGCTCCGTGGAGACAGCCCAGACTGCTTTTATCCCTCCACATCCTCCTCTATCATCAGGGCCAGCTGCATGAGCCATGGCAAATGTCACAGCTACATGTCATTTGGTGTTTTCCTAGCAGGGACACTACAGCACTTACGTGTTAACCTAATTTCTGAGAGATAAAAGTATTTTAGAAATATGCAAAGGATTCTACACATACTTTAAGCAGAAACATACAGAAAGAACTCGTGACATGGGCTTTCTGTCTGAAATGACCTGGGAAGACAGATCATTGAGCTCACTCTATGGATGAAGGAGAATGTGAAGCAGGAGAGGTCTGAGCAGTTTCCTCAGGATTGAAGATGGACTGGGTCCTCTAACCCCAGTTCCTAACCCAGCTCCCATCTTCCCCATCCTACCACTTCTTCTGCAGACTGCTGAGGTGTAGAAGAACCTGTCAGTAAAAGGCAGACAGTGTGGGTTCAATGTTGAATGTGGGAATTCCAGTACAGCTATGTAACAGCTCTGTGATCTATGGCAATTTTTACTTATTCTCTGAGACTCTCATCATTTAAATATAAAATAAGTAGTTTGAATATTAGCAGTTTCCTATTACTTAGAAAAAGGCAAATACACATGAACACAAAAATTCGGAGTAGTAAAGAGCTGCTTGTGGAGGGGTGGGAGGAGGTGGCCACAACAATGTATACCCACGTAAGTAAATGTAAAAATGATTAAAAAAAAAAAGTTGTTCGTGGACTCTGCATTTTGACTCCTAATCTTAAAGGCTGGTGTGAAGGAATGAGGGGAAAGCTGCATATGTTACACACTGCCTAG